AAAGAAACAAGTACAAGAAGAAGTATGGAATAACGAGACAAAAGAGGGATAAAAGGGAGACAAAGAGATAAAAAGGAGAAAAGAGACCATGAAGAGTTTTATCGTTTTTCTCGTTTTTCTATCATTTTCATATAAGTTACAAGTTTTATATATATAGAGAGAGAAACTAGAAGAAAAACAGTAGTTACAAAAATAAATAATCATGAATTTTAAGATCATTGAGACACAAATCAATTTAATTGTAATTGATTATTTTGAGAAAAATCATACAGTTATTTTTTTTTTTTAATTGATTATTCTATCTTAAAAGTATACTTTTCTACATCTTTAATCAAGAAAAGTGTTTCTAAGCCTTTTAACAGCTAAGGTATTACCTCTCCCCTTTCTGTATGTTTAGTTTGAGGAGAGAGAGGGACGAAGGGGAGATGAGTGGTGAATGATAATTCTAGTGGTCAGAAAAACTCATCTCTCTTCTACCATTTGCTTTCTTTCTCTCAAGTTATATATACTCCTGTATATATTTTTTTGGACGAAACTGTATACTCAGCTTTGGGGAAAATAATTACAGGACCAGTGTAAACCGGACCAATCATCTCAAAATTTTTCTATGGCTGATTAAAAAATACAAAAAAAAATTTATAAGTTTATTGTATATTAAAAATGTAGTTTGTATTATAAATTTATTAAAATAATTTTATTAAAATTAATTTTTATATTATTTTATTAAAAATATTTAATAAATGTATTAAAAAATTACATTATTAATGTATAGTTTAAACTTAATTAGATAAATTCTAAAAAAATCAAAATTTTCTTACAAATTTTAATTTAGTTTGATATAATAATACTACCTTATAATTGTAATTATAAATTTTTTAATATTTTAATATTTTAAAAATATGTAAAATATAATTAATATATTTAATATTTATTTTAATTAATATTTTATATATTTTAAAAATAATAAAATAAAATAAAATCTAAAAATTAAGGTGCTTTTAGGATTACAATTGAAAGTTTTTTCATGTAATCACACAATATTTATATATATATGTGTAGTATTTTTTTTCAAATTGTTTTTTCTGAAAACTATAAAAAATTACAATAAATTTACAGTAATTTAATATATAAAATCAAAAATTTCATTTTGAAG